ACAACATTTTGTCATGCATTGTTTTTTTCTGGGGCTGGGTTTTTTGAGGCAGGGTCTCACTATGTAGTTGAGACTGACCTGGAACTCACTATGTAGCCCAGGCTGGTCTCGAACTCACAGCAATGCTCCTACCTCAGCCTCCCGAATGCTGGGATTACAGGAGTGTGCCACCACACCTGGCCCACAGTATTAAGTAAAGTGATTCCTTCAACTTTACTTTTTCAGAATTATCTATTCTAGATTCTATGCTTTTCCATATAAACTTTAGAATAGATTGTTTTGTAGGTTTAAAAAATCTTGGGTGGATTCTCTTTGAAATTTTATTAAACCTATAGATCAATTTGGGGAAATTTGGCCTCTTTGCTATATAGAGTCTTCTAGCTCATGAAAACAATATTATATATTGGTTTATTTAAATCTTTCATTTCTTCAGAGAAATGAAATTTTTCATCATAGAGATCATGTATGATAATTATACATGTTTTGTTTTATTTATACTTAAGTATTTAACTTTTCTTGGAGTGACTATGAATGGTTTTGGTTGGGCTTTTGTTGTCTTTGTTGTTTTTCAGATGAGATCCTACTACATTGCGCAGGCTGGGCTCCAGTTTATGATCTCAAGCAATCCTCCTACCTAAGCCTCCCAAGTAGCTAGGACTATAGGTGTGCACCACTGAGCCCAGCTTTCAAATTTTTTACAAGTCCTTGTTCTACAGTTTATAATTTTTTAAAAAGAGGCTTTTTTGCTATTGTACTATGTAAATTTTTTTTCACTTTAAAGACACATAATTAGAAATCTAAATTAAAGGACAAATTTGATGATATATAATATAATTTTTAATTTTAAGATTTTATCTGGAAGAACCTCCAGGAACACAGAAGCTTTATTTGGGAAGAACTGCTCCACCATCTAAAGTGATCCATCTTGGAGATAAAGAGCAATCTAACTGGACAAAAGAGGTCCAAGGGATATCAGAACAGTGAGTATCATAAAAAGAATTTACTCTAGAATTTTTTATATACCCATTCTCTTAACTTATTTTCCACTTAGCATAGTACTCTGACTATGTCTTCATCCTGTGTTCCAAAGAAAGTAATGAAATGTAGTTTAAAATGTCATCTGCTTGATATCAATTAAAATCTTATCCAATTTGTCACTAAAACAGTGAAGTACAGGGTCGGGGATTTACGTCAGTTGTTCCGCTGCCTGTCTCACAAGTACAAGGACCCAAGTTTGATTCCCCAGTACAAAAAAAAACCGTGAAGTACAAAGAAAAATTAAATACCAAATAATGGAAGTGATATTTAATATATTGCCTGAATTTGAATGCTATTTAACCAGTGACCACATATAAGTAATGAAAGTAAGAAAAATGACTGTTTTGTTTCTCATCCTCTTTCCCTCTTTACTCCTCCCACTTCTCTTCACCCAGTCTTCAGATGACTTAGAAATCAATCTATAGATCTTAACCAAACTGAAAACCTGGTCTTCCTCACGGTGCTGATTTTCAAGGTCACCACGGTGTTTAGTGTCCTATGATCCCATCGTAACATTTCCTGTCTTTCTTTCTGTGAATACTGGAAATCTCAAAATCAAGTCAGAGTGATAGAAGCTGGCACTGACTTATTGAAATGATGTTATAAATGAATATATCTGTCAAAACTCTTGTTTAAACTGTAATAACATCCATTAAATTTTAAAAGAGTTCAAAGAAATGCTTACTATATAATTCAGGAGCTAATATTAGGCCTAGCGTAAAAGGACAGAAGCATAGCTCTGAAGAAATGGAGGTAGAACACATTTTTGCCTCCAAACAATATAAATTAGATATTCCTGTTATGACTCATATCATTTTGAACTTATTTTCCCATAAATAAAATCAATAATAAATGATGTGATTAGTGACTTTGTAGTATTCTCAGTAAGGAATAGGAAGGATATTTCTGTCTATTTTTGTCACATTTTGTTCTAATTGGCTAGTATTGAGACACCAAGTAATTATTTGAATAAATAGTTTTAGTCGACTTTTTCAATGGGAAAAAATGAAACTCATTCAAAGAGTTTATCTTCTGATAAAGAGTTTAGTCATTTGTTCATATATTCGTGATACTCATAAATTGATATTTAAGTATCAGTCTATTACTAGGTGTACTAGCAGGCACTATACACATGCAGTCCCTTTGCTCTTGAAGCTTAGAGCTAGAGGATGAAAGGCAGACATTAACATGTGACTTTGAGGACCAGGGATTTAGATCAGTGGTTCCATCACCTGCCACACAAGTGCAAGGTCCTGAGTTTGATCCCTAGTACCAAAAAAAAACCAAAAAACATGTGACTTTGGTCAAATGTCAATATGATTAATTATTGGAGGAGTGGCACTCTGAGACCATAGAGGAATTTTGACTTAGCTAGGGAGAAATTTTCCTTAGTCAGGAACAGGGAAATGTTGACTAAACTTTTTTAAATGAGGAGTAGAAATTAGGCTGAGAGTAAAAAAAAAAGTATCTTTCAAGATAACGGAAGACTTAACCTGTGGAGTCCCTATGGCAGGAGGAGAGGTATTACGTATTGAGGAAAATAAAGGAGAAAAAATGTGGCAAACTCGGAGACAGGAGATCATCTGGGAAAGGGTTACATCCTGTAAATCACAGCAGAAGAGTATATTAGAAAATATAGCAATAAGTCTTGTCATGCCTCTCTGGGGCCGGGGATTTAGCTCAGTGGTTCGGTGGCCTGCCTTGCAAGCACAAGGACCAGAGTTCAATCCTTGGTACCAAAAAAAAAGCAATAAGTCATGTCAGATGTTTTGAAGAGACCAAGTAAGAGCTATTTTATGGGGCTGAAAGCCAAACTAGAATGAATAAAGGAATGATCAAGAGTTACAGGCATAGAAAAATTAAAACAAAACAAAGAACAGAGTTAACTAAAAAAAGATAAAAATGAGTGGATTGGATTTTTGGTTTATTCAGAGCAGTGTTATAATGTGTAAAAACAAATGAGAAGGGAAGTGCAGCATTCAGGAAGAGAAAATAATACATTTGAAGAGGGAATAAGATGTGTTATAATATAGATCTAGAATGTCACTGAAAAGCCTCACATGTTCAGAAGTGGGGCTTTTGGAAGGATTTTGGATGCATAGCTGACTTACTGTGAGGGGATGGAGACTGCTCTGATGTGGATCACTGGGAGAGTAATCAGAAGGATTTTTCTCCCTCCCTGGCTCTTCTCTTTTTGCTTCCTGGCTGCCATAGGATGAGCAACTGTCCTGTGCCCAGGCCTTTTGACTGTTGTCTTTCTTTCTTGGAGCTAGCTGACTATGGACTGACACCTCTAAAACATAGGAGCTAAAATAAACTCCATTAAGTTGTGAGTATTGGGTATTTTGTCCCAGCAATGAGAAAGTGTCTAAGACAGGTTTACTTAATTGGGATGAAAATAGCTTTGGTATTTTTACAGGATAGGATGGAAATATAGGATGGTTTGTGTGGCTGACACAGAGAAAGATAAGGAACTCTCATTTGATTCCTTTTTTTTTTAATTTGTTAAGTAGATATTGAAAATATTGAAGAAAGTAGAGAGAGGAGGAAAGTTAGTCATAAATTTGAGTAGAATGGAGCAGATTTAAAGATAATTCTTGGAAATTATAGAAAGGAATCAGTTAATCATAAAAATATAGTGGAATTATATGCAGTACGGAATTGAAGATCATGAATTTACAATGAAACATTCTGCCCTATGATGTGACAGTAGATCTCAGTTCACTAGTCACCCCCCTAAAGAAAACACATGAATTTAACCAACACAGATTTTGTCAGATGATACAGTACAATGAAAAGACAAAGAGACAAGTTTAGATCTCTGGCAGGAATATAACTGAAATGGTAGACAGTAGAATCTAAGTGGGATAGATAGATAGAGAAGTTAAGAAAGTAGAGGGTTAATAAAAGAAGTAGAAAATAGAGAGCCCAAATGAAATTGAATAAAGATCATAAGCAGAGTGGTTGAACAAGCAAGTTATAATACAAAGAGGGAGTTAGTAAACAAAATATATTTGACTTTGTTATGTTGGAGGTGAAACAATTATGGATATCCCGACCCAAAACATAGCCATGAGAATAAGTGCCTGAAGTGGAAGGAAGAAGGTTACTGGAGATGAAGAGGTTGTAAAAATGTGTTGCTGTGGTCTTGAGTAGACTGCACAAATGGGGGCTGAAGTCATTCTGGATGATGACATAAGGGTATAATGGAAAGCATAGGATAGTTTAGTACTAGACAGAGATTTGGAAGTTATGAGTTGTAAGGAGAATATTAACACCCTCTCCTAGTTTTAAGGTATATGCTATAAAAACAATTAGCACTCAGTAGGGCTCTACATGGAAATCATGATAACTGCAGATAAGGAGGGAGAGATTGAGGATGTAATGGAGGGGAAAAGTTTAGGGTTGGAGGAAGATCTGAGAAAAGCAATAAAGAAGTGCTTTATGAAGAAGATGGTCTAAGAGGATAATTTGAGTAAAAGCTTTAACAGTCCGTAACTCCTTCATGCAAGATAGAGCAACATAAAAAAGATGGTTATTAAACTATTAGTGATAAACACGGGATCTTTTAAAATATATTTGCATATGTATGTATGTAGGCATTCCCCACCCCACCCCCGTTACTGGGATTACACCCAGGACTTTCACACTGAATTACTATATCACCAGCCCCTTTTTTATTATTTTATTTTAAAACAGTGATCTTACTATGTCACCCAGACTGGGCTTGAACTTGGGATTCTCTTGCCTCAGCCTCTTAGAATGCTGGAATTACAGACATGCACCACCACACCTGGCCATATATGTATGCATTTCTATTGAGTATGTAAGAATAGAAACATGGCCTCATAATCTGTATCTAAGCTTAGCTTTAATAGATTCTGCCTTTGGTTTCCAAAGTAGTTGTATCAGGTTTTATTCCACTGCAGTTTATAAGAACTTTTGTTGATCTTTATTTTTATCAGTACTCATTGCTGTCTCTCCCATTTTAACCATTCAGGTACAGAAGTGTCTCATTCTGGTTTAATTTGCATTTCCCTGATACTAATAAATTAAATATCCTTTCCCATTCGATGCTTATGTGAATGTACATGCTATTTTGTGAAATGCCTGCAACTTTTTAAAATTAAGTTCGTTTTCTTATTGTTTTGTAGTTTTTCTCATTGATTGACAGTCTCATTCTCAATTCCAGAGGAAGCTTTATGTAATTTGCCATTGAATATCATGTTTGCTATAAACTTGTTATTAATCAATATTTTTAAATAAGAAAATTTCCTTGTATTCCTATTTGGTTAAGAGTTTTTAATTATTAATTGGTACTCATTTTATCAATTGTTTTTCCTAGTTTGGATGATGATTATCACCTTAGACTATATACATACTTTTATGTATATTTCTTTCTTATTTCTTTTAGCTACTTGAGAAGAAAAGGAATAATAATAAATGAAACATCGATAGTTGTATATGTTCAGTTGCTCACAGGTCGTAAATATCAAATAAATTATAATGGTGAAGTTCATCTCGAAAAGCAGTGGTCAAAACAAATCCTTCCTTTTGTTTATCAAACCATTGTCAAAGTAAGTCTCCATTGAGTTCATATTAACATTTATTTATAAAGAAGACCAATTCAGTAATATATAGTAGAATTTACTATTTAATATAATGTGGGGCATTTTTGTTTTGTTTTGTTTTGGTTTTTTCTGTTTTGAGGCAGGGTCTTGCTACATAGTTCAGGCTGGCCTTGAACTTAATGTGTCCTCAAACTTGGGGCAGTCTTGGCTCAGCCTCCTTAGTGCTGGGATTACAGATGTGTGCTACCATGCTCAGCATTTAATTTGCAAAATATGTTATTCTGCATAAGGAGTATTATGTGCTCTGAGAAGAATGTATATAGTTAGGAAACTTGTCTTTCTAATATTTTTATTTGTTTTTTGTTTTTGTTTGTTTGTTTTTGGTACCAGGGATTGAACTCAGACCTTGCACTTTAGAGGTAGGTGTGGTGCCACTGAGCTAAATCCCCAGCCCTCTTCCTAGTATTTTTAAAGACTTAATCTCTAAAAAAATTTTTTTTCAACATTAACTTATGTCCTTGCATTTTAAATTTCTATTCTTCAGGACCAGGGATTTAGTTCAGTGGTTCCACCTGCCTTGAGAGCACGGGGTCCCAAGTTCAATTCCTCTTACCCACAAAAAAAAAAAATTTTTTTATTCTTTAAATGTAGCTTAAACTAATGAATATAAAAAGCATTTGCTTTAGTGTTTATAATCTTAGATATGTAAGTAAATTTTTAAAAATTTTAAGTATAGTAGTCTTTTATACAAGGTTTTGCTTTCTGCAGTTTAATTTACTTATAGTCATCCAAGGTCTAAAAATATTACCTGGAAAATAACATAATTAAACAATTCATAAGATTTGAATTGTGTACCAGTCTGAATCTTGTGGTGAAAGTTGTGTTACCATTCCCTTCTCTGCCCTATCCATGCTGTGTGTGTCATGGCGAGCCTACGGCACGTGTGCCGCAACAGGATAAGTGTGTCCTTGAAAGCTCTAAAAGGTTTACCATCACTGCTGAATATGCTCCCCACCCAATGATCCCCTGATAGCCATCTCTGTACCAGACTATTAAAATATCACAGCGCACGTGTTCAGTAACTCATATTTTACTTAAAAATGGTCCCAAAGTTCAAGAGTAGTGATACTGACAAGTAAGATATGCTAAAGAGAAGCCATAGAGTGCTTCCTTTAAGAAAAAAAATGGAAGGTTCTTGACTTAATAAGGAAAGAAGAATAATCATATGCTGGGGTTGCTAACATTGTAATAACAAATCTGTCCACAAAGCTGTGAAGAAGGGAAGAGAAATCCTTACTACTTTTGCTGTTGCACGTCAAACTGCAAAAGTTACATGTGCATGAGAAGCACTTAGTCTTTCTCTACACTTCATCTCACCACTTGGGCTTTGTTTCATCTCACATTATCACAAGAAGAAAGATGAGGACAGTACAGAATATTTTGAGAAAGACATACACCACATTCACATATCTTTTCTTACAGTATATTGTTACAGATATTCTATTTTATGGTTCTTATACTCTTACTGTGCCTAATTTATAAATTAAACTTAATCATATGTGTGTATAGGATAAAAACCACAAAATACATAGTGTTTGATATGATCTAGTTTCAGACCTCAGTGGGGTGGAGTGTCTTAGAAAGTAAGGAGGGACTGCGATATTTCATGATCCTATAATTTGGAGGAGAGGAGATATTATAAAAGTTAAGAATATAGCAGTTTTTCTTGAGTGGGGTATGGGGGCTCACACCTGTAATCCGAGCACTCTGGGAGGCCTAGAGTAGGGGATTATAAGTTTGAGCCCAGCCTGAGCAATTTAGCAACTTTAAGGAGACCCTGTCTAAAAATAAAACGTTCAAAAAGGCTCAGTGCAAACACTATGAATTCATTCCCCATATCACACACCCAAAAAGTGCAGACTACCTGAGTTGTCTTTGCTGTTCAGTCATGGCTGAGATTAATCCCTCTGTGTGCTTTCCTTTCTTTGCAACACAAGAGTAATAATAGTCCCTGTCATAGAAGGTTGTATTGAGAATTAAGTGAATAGAAAAAAAAAATGAAGCACCTTTAAGAGTGTATATTCTAATCTTGTTATTTCAAAAATTTTTATATTTGCCATTTGCAGGCAGCATACCCATAAGCCCAGAAGAAAAAAACATGTACAACCTATAGAAGTTTTAACTGATGGGTTTACTTTTATATTTCACTTTACCTAGGACATCCGAGCTTTCGACTCTCGTTTCTCCAGTATCAAAACATTGGATGATTTATTTCCTCCTGGAAGCGTGGTGTTTATGCTGGGGACTCCTTATTATGGCTGCACAGGAGAAGTTAGTTTCAAATTTGTTACTCATTGAATTTCTTTCTAGTTCCAAGTTCATCCAATTACTTGTCTTCAAAATGTATTGCCAAAGGGGAGGTATAAGTAAGATTTCATTCGTATAATTTAATAAGCATAGTATTTGACTAAGTACTTTAATCTTGAGCAAGTTAGCATCAAGAGATTGGCAATAAAGAATTCAAATCCTAATCACATGAAGTAGTGAACATCTGTAATTCAAGCACTCTGGGAGGTTGAGGCAGAAGGATTGAGCCCTGTGTGAACAATTTAGTGACTCACATGGAAAAAAGATATACATGCAAACATTTGTATCACCTTAAGAAAATACCTCTCGACAGCTTGTTTATTATCTGTACAGGAAACAAAAAACTGTAATTGTGCACTGAAGAAGGTAAGTAATATATTGTATTGACAGTATGATCAAAGATAGTATCACGGTGCGGGACAGATGAACATCATGTACCAGCAGGTATATGTCCTAGGACTGACATATCACCTATGCAGTATTCCAGCTGATAATGTGTAATCTTAAACTAATTACAAAGAAGCACCAGAAAAACCCAAAGTAAACAATTTTAAAAAAAAGCAGTGAGCCTATAATCCTGGCTACTTGAGAGTTTGAGGCACGATAATCACAAGTTCAACACCAACCTGGGCAGAGTGTCTTAGAAAATCTAAAAAGACTGGAGAGGTCAATGGTGGAACACCCCTGGTTTAATTCCTCGTACAGGGTGAGTAGGAGAAAGATAGGGAGTGGATGAGATGGAAACACCAGAGTGAAGAGGGAAAGATGAATTGTGTTCTTCAAAATGTCAATAGTGGGCCAGGGATTTTGCTCAGTGGTTGCACTGCCTGCCTCACAAGCCAAAGTCCAAAGTTTGAACCCCAGTACCAAAAAAAAAATGTCAATAGTACTAAAAAAATAAAGATTAAAGGGTGAGGCAACTGATTGCAATATCTGATCCTATCCTGGATCATATGGAGAGGGAGAAAAAAATTCCATGTAAGATGTTCTAAGATGAATCAACAAAATTGGATTATAGACAGTACTTTTGATAAAAGTATTATATCATTGTAAAAGTAATATAATCAAAGTATTATGTCAATATATACTTAATTATTATAGTTTTGAAACAAAATCCTTCATAAATGCCAAAAGTATTTAAAGGTAGGAAACGTGATGCATATAATATATCCTCAAAGGTTTCAGAAGAATAATTATATGTCAGCATACAGTACACAAATGCTAAAGCAATTTTCTTTATAATGTTAATAATTGGTGAATCTGAATAAATGTTTTCAAGGGTTCTCAGTAGTGTTTTTATTTTTGCAACTTTTTGGTACTTTGATTTTTTTTTTTTTTTTTTTTTTTTTTTTTTTTCGT